CTATAATTTATATTTTCTCGAAATGTTAGGTGATTCATTGTTATTGCCTTTGTTGTAGCCCAGTAAACAGACACACACCGCCGTTTAGACATGTCACATGTCGTTCTTGTTCCTTTTATATACAACATACGATAGACGACAAAGCTTCGTATTGCTCCTCTTTAATTTCCAGTCCGGCTTTGTCCAGTCTTTGAAGTGATTTTACAAGCGCATGTTGAAACAGGTCATCTGTACAAGAACCCATGATGTTTTGAATCACAGCAACGTCTTCGAGCACATTTCGAGCGACTCGATCATGTTTACATCATACGTGAAAATTGATACATGTAATACGAGACCGAAATGTGGTTGTATTTTGACGAATATTAACGATACAACGAAATATAAAACCCCAGTATGTATAATTCCATTAGGTGGTCTACACATATTCCCTTGATGGTGGAAAATACATCAAAACAAAAGGAAAATCCAATATTTTCTTCTCACCAACGCGTCTCCACTCCTCAGTAAAAATTAATGCACAGTCAGCATTTTTAGCTGCAGAGAGCACGTTTACTTCCGGAAAACACCAGAATTTGTGGTGTTCCGGTTTGGCTTGTCCCAGGGCTTACGGCAACGCAGGCAGCCGAGAAGCCCTGGGAACGAGGATGCCTGCAATATGGCGGTAGAAACCTTGGAAAGGTCTATTAACATCAATTTAAGTTCGCCAATGCCCCCACTGAGATGTTTTCAATAACGTCATACTAAAGCTAACCACCCATGTCTAATTATGCAAAACCCGAGCGTATTTCCTCCCCCATTGTCTATATAAATACGGTTATACCACATTATACGCTTCACATAGTTCAACTGGCAATCTAAGTAACAACATGGACGCCAAGATCAGTCTACTTTTACTCGCTCTCTTTGGTCTAACTCTGCGGCTGACTCAGGTCAGCTTGGCGGCCAAATGGCCCAAGTGTAAGAACGATTCAGATTTATTGGACTACTACACCAAACTTTTTGAGGGATATGCAGGATCGTCCGCGGTTAAAAGACAGGTAAGAGCTACTTAGTGGTCTGAGGTTAATAATTTAGACAAACGACTGCCCAATGGCAAATGCAGGAATCAACCCCATCAAACTTTATTGCCGTCCAGTTTTCAGATTCTGCTAAGACAGCGAAACTGAAACTTTCCCGGACATTTTTTTACAATTGCATGCACTCAACAGTACCAAAATAAGATTAATAGGATATTCATTAAATTGGATATATTAAATCATATAATTACAACAAGAATAGGTTATTTATAGCTATGTCACGAAACAGTCAACATAATAACCAAGATGATAATAGCCGAGATTATCTCAAAATTCTTAAAGAATGCATATGACTTTTCCTCGAAACATCGAAATTCTTCAATTGTTTTCTTGATGTTGTTTGATCCTGTAGTCGTTGTTGGTCAGTTGTTGGGTGCAGTGTTTTTTACATTCATGTTTGGTAATGTTATCTTTCGTTACAGTGGAGCTTCGGTGACAATCGTAATTGTTGTAAAAACATAGTCTAGACTAGGCTAAATAATTATGTAGTTAGATTGGCATATAATACTTGATATAAAGCGCATTGGGTGATATCCACACGTAAACTTGCGCTATAGAAATGCAGTTGAACTCAATGTTGGAAGGCAGCATGGTCAGGTCTGACGTTATTCTAAAGACTTTTATCTAACAGCATCAGCCAATGCAATGGCGAGCGATGTTGGACTGGTTTAGGCACTACATAGGGGAAATAAAGAAAACCCTGTATCGAGCTCTTCAAAGTTCAAACATGAATGATTTTGAATGACAGTTACGAAATTCAAACATTCAAACGGCCGTTAAATAACCGACTTTGATACTGGCCATTTCAAACTGGCGGTCAGGAAACAATACATTGCTTCCTGCGGTTTGAAAATTTAATTACTAACACTCTTTTCTTTATTCGATATTGGCAACTTTCTGAATCACTCTTTCATGGCTTTTCCTGCATGCCATATAAATATACATTTGAACATTGGTTTTCAGTATAAATTTTAAGTATAATTTTTAATGTCGATTATACAGCGCGTGGTCGCCGCTCAACACACCCATTCAGAAAGTACTTCACTTAGGCCATATACAGCGTTTTCGTGTGTGTGTTATATTGTTAAACTAATGTCACACTCACGAAAACAAGGCTCTTTTAATTTGCCAAAATGACGTACTTTCCGCTCTAGCCAGAGGCTTACAATACACACCCCCGACAACTAAGGCATAAGGTTCAGTTTTTGGTGAGGGGGCGGGGGAAACTAAGTCATGTCCTGGCTATCTTCATTTTATACGTAAAACACTAAAAAATCATGACTGTGAACGATCTTGTATTTTCCTGATACAAAATTTTGCTGATTTACACATATTTGTTTTCCCCACCAATCATTCATGTCTATGAGTATGAGTATGAGATTGTTGACGTTAATTTTTCATCAGGACGAATCACAAGCATGCAATATATCCATGCAGTATTCGCGTCTGTGTTGTATATAAGATAAACAACTACCGCGACTTTGGATCGCTCATGTTTGTATATGATATCTTACTATGATACAACACAGCCCCACTATCCCGGACAATCAAGGGAAACATATTCTAATATACGTATCCTATCCTAACTTTCCTAGATGACATGGACGTTCAGTTGTCTTCACGCATCAGTCATTAAAGACGAAAACGACAACTCCTTGTTTTCATATCAAATCTACCAATGCTGTGCTAAATGTGAATTTCCAAACTTCTCACTCTGCACGCTCGCGGATTATCCGAATTGGCAGTGTGGGAGTGAGGCTTATGATTGCGTGTTTGGATGCCGTGATGAGGACAGTGTGTTGGAAGCTGTGGTTTCTGCTTATAGTCTGGGTATGAGCAGGAAACGAGAATTGAATATCACAGACACTCAGGTAAGATATACATCAGGATTTTGGGCATCTAACTCCATATAATTTTAAAATTGTTACCAGGGAAATGTACTATAGGCCTACAGTTGCATTTTTCGCAACTGCTGCTGGCCAGATCTAATAAATGTCATAAAAATTCGACTCACAATTTCCATCTACAATCCTTTCAAGAACAAGGTAAGGTGTACGCATTTTATTTTTGTAACACTTTTCATATAAGATTTCATCGCTTTTTTATCATGCCATAATATTCCATTATGTCCAGACTATTTTTTCGTACTACAAGATTCTAAGATCTTTCTATCTGAGTTAAGGGATTATTGAGCCCTCAAATCTTCAATCTTAATCTAGTGATCAATCTAGCCCTGCACAGACAACCTTGTCGTGTCATTGCTTGCGAACCACTGCTTCTTACTTCCTTCTTCTTAAACGCAGATCTGGTCCCAGACTCACTCAGGATCGGCTGTCTAGTCCTCCATTACTTTCTGTCCCTTGTCATTTCTACTGTCAGTTGCTTGATATTTAGATCTTCTTTCACATAGCCTATCCACATCTGTCATGGCTTCCTACTTATCCTGCCCCATGTTATCTCCGCTCAATAATATATCTGAGTAGCATTCCATCTTTTCTTATCACGATCCCATTTCAGCCGTAATGTCTGCCACCCCACATCTTCTGATCTCTTCATTCCATAATAACTCTGACCTGCTCCCATTCATCTTTTATTATTAGATGTCTATACCATCTCAGTTTTGCTTTCTTCATCTTCTCCGCAATATATGCCAGCCAGTGGTGCCACCCCACATCTTCCGATTCTTTTTATCCCTTCTCATTATGCATGTGTCCATAACATGTCATCTTTGCAATGTTTACTTCCACATTTTCTAATATCTCCATTCCATAATGTCTCTAACAAGCTCTTCTTCATTCCCCCTTGATGCCTGTCCATATCTTGGTTCCCTCATTTTTCAGCAAAGTTTACCACTTCACATGTTCTTCAGATCTCCTCATTCCATTATGTCTCCGACCGACTTTCCTTCATCTCTTCTACTCGAATTATTACCTGTTCATAGTATTCCAGTTTCTCACCCCTTTTCTGCAATGTCTACCACCACTTATTCCAAAACTTTCATTCCTTGCAGGTGACTAAGGTAAGAAAACAATTACGGCTCTTACGACGCGAGAAGAAATGCTATGAGAGAACGTGTACAGTTACAAATGGAGTAAAAGATTGCTGCTTGAAAAGCACGTGTGTCTCACTCAAGAGCCTTACAACAAAACTAGGCAAAGCAAAGAAGAATCGTGAAAAACTGTTGAAAAAATTGGCAAAGGCAAAGTCGACAACGAGATAGGAATGAGAGAACTGATTTGAAAACTACTTTTTCTGGACAATGTATTTAGTTTTGATTATAACAGTTTCGTTTAGTTAAGAATGGTTTTTAGTTTATCAAGAGTGAGCTTCCACACAACAAATTTGATTATGTATCATGCATAAATTTTACGTTACGATCGAATTGGAGAACAGCCTTTATAGTCTTTGTGCAAGACTCGTGCTGAAAGACAGACAAACACACACACATACAAACGTGCATGGATGATTAAATTGATTTAGAAATATATAGCGTACCAATTAAGTTGTTGTAATCATTAATACGAAAAATATTAATATGATTTGCGGAGATAACGATATACGAAAGGTTTAATTATAATGTGATTTGGGAGTGTACTGTATAAATGAAAACGCACTTTTACCATACCAGACGTTTTAGGCATGGAATGACTAAAAAGCGAGAAATTCTTATGACGCAAAGAAGCACAGGATGTCTAAGAAAGCAACCGCCTAGTGATTTAATTGATTGTCACCGATTGTCTTTGTGAGTACACGTAGAAGTTAGTCTGCATGCCACAACCAAGAATTCGTACCTGCCGTGATCATTGCCCGAAAAGCCCGGCTTTGAGGTTTATTCGAGGTTAGTTAGGTAGTTCAGACACATACCAGCCATCAGCTTTATATATTGTAGAACACAATCCAAGTAGGCGGAATTTGTTCAAATTTTTCGATCTCAACCAAGGTGGGAAAAATTAGCTTTGCGCGAACAAATTCGCCAGGAGGAAAACTGGCTTTACGGAGATATCACTTGACCCCTCTTAAATTAAAATGGACTTTTTCTTCAACAGGTGCAAGGTACATTATGTGGTCGGCACATTTTCGAAAACCGTTTATTCATTTCCCCCATATATACGGATCTGCATGCCTTTCAAAGACCGTGGGTGGATGGTAACTGGGTGTGCATGATATATACAGTATAATTTGAGCAATTACTTTCGATAGTAATTAATCATCATCAGTTTAATTGTGTTAATTGTATTGAAGTGTACTCTCACGCAGGGAGGGGCATGCATGCAAAGTTGCATGCATGCAAAGTTTTACATTCCACAGATCGTCGCAGCCGCAGTTCTATTACATACATACATACATACATACATACATACATACATACATACATACATACATACATACTTTATTGTGTTCCTCAAAGAGGCTTTTCAACACTAATTTACATGGAATGGTGATTAAAAAACAAGGTTAAGATTACATGCATATATAAAAATTTACTAGGAAAAATCTTCTATTATTAAAATAGTCCATTACTAAGAATACAGTCTGTCTAACATGTCTTTCTTTAATTTATTGTTAAAACTTCTCAAAGATGGCATTTGTTTCGTGTTATTGTCCAGATCATTCCATAGTTTCACCCCTCTATAATGAAATGTTCTCTGGCCAGTGGTGGTATTATAAATCGGTATTTGGAGGAGCTCTCGGTTACGAGTGTTACATTCATGTATATTTGATCGTCAGCTGTAACATGTGTTAAAATTTCGCATGTGAGTAGAGTGCTTCGGTATATATTATATAGACACGCTAGCCTGATCAACTGGAGCCTGTATGACTCGGGATGTCCATGTCGGAAGAACAATTTGGAACTGGTGGAGCTATCCAGTATGAACCAGCTTAGCATACTTTCTTGCATGGTGCGACTTTCTCCGCAAGCCCCTGTATTACATACTGTATGTGGATCTCATCCGGTGTGCACAGTGCATATAGGTATTTTTGAAACAGTCATTTTCATTCTAATCCAGAATATTTCAGTATTTTTAACTCTCACATGACCAGAGGGTGTTGCCATCCCCCGCAAACATTTATATCTGCGCAATTTCCTGTGTTTCACTCTTCCAGCATCGCTATAGTATAAAAGGAGAGTCTTTCGGGTAGCGAATCTGTGCAGAATATTAGAGCAACCATGAGAGTAATACTGGTGACACTCGCGCTGCTGCTGTTGGTAGTTCTTAACGAAGGCTTGAGCTTGACGCCTGCCAAGATACCAACGAAGCTCATTCTTAAAAAGCCAGAAGTGACCAAAAGTTGTCCACGAAATCCAAAGCTCGAAGCCATGAGAAAAGCTCTGGGTCTGGCGACTAAACGGAGGAGCGGCCGGGGAAAGAGATCGGTAAGCAAGTATCTCGTTTTTGATAAACTTAAACTTACACGAAAATACATCGCTTAACATTGCGTTTTGCCAAGTACCAAAAAATTTAGGTCAGCGATTAAAAAACCTTAACTGCTATGTCACCCGTTCCGCACGTTGTAACTAATAATCTGTTGGCGTTGTAATGCCATTGTATGCAATAAAGTATTGGGTTGTAACTGCATGAAGACAAAACCATGCACAAGCATTGGACAAAAGCTTTAGTTATAAATGTAATCACCCTAAAAGGGAAGTTGGCGAGCCGAGGTGGGGAGACTACGAGAAAAAAGGTCGTTAACTTTGACGGTTAGGGCTATGGTTAGGATAAGCGTTTGGATTAGGGTTATTGTGATTGTATAGACCATTACAACCCAGTACTTTATTACGTACAATTGCGTACAATGGCATTACAACGCCAATAGATTATTGGTTACAACGTGCGGAACGGCTGGCTATGTCTGGGTCGGTGAGTCTTGCCTCCTTAGAGTTTGATTGTAGTACGATATAAATATTTATTTACTTATTTAATTTAATCTATTGGACGATGCCCAAGCTGTGAGAGTGTGTCTGACGGGACTCGGCAAAGTTCGATGCGAGAAACTCCCCAAATTCAAACTATGAACATACTAAAATATACCGCAGTGCTTAAAATATATACTATAATAATGACCTCATGCGCAAAAACATATGCCAATTGCGTGAGCTCCACAAATTCTCAAACCGTAAACAAATGCTCGACTAAGAGTTTGGTTGTCTTTTATCTTTTTAAGTTACCAAACCTAAACCGTACCACTTCAGCAGTCATAATTGAGCAGCATTTTTTTTTTCTGACAAGATTAATAGTTACTATATAAGTGGACGAGGTATTTAATATGTTTTAATAAATTTAGAAGGATACAATTAGGCATTTAGGGGATTGCAGTCGCACCTACTTTGTGTGAAAATCGGAAAATTTGCTTTTACGTGTGTTAATAAATCATGCTCATAAAATAAATCATGCTTATAAAATATAACGAGTAATATTTCAATGTTTATACAAATCGGTCGTTTGATCAGATTGAGAGACACTGGACGCACGATTGAATTGAAATTATAGTTTTTATTGAAACTAGAAAGTAATTATGGAAATTTCTGCAATGCAACCTGCTGTGGTCTGCAGAAAGGTTGCTTAGCAACTGCACCATGCCCAGACTTTGTGTATATAGGTATTGCCATGGAGCGAACACACGACGCCGGTCTTGTTATGCCTCGTATCCAGGCGCCATATCGCTTGAGTGGCCTTTGCGTGGATTCATTCGATCCGCGCGCGCTAGCTTGATGACGTGGACACAACTCAAACTCATATATTCAACAATGAGCTCTATATATTCAACAGTGAGCTCTAAAAGTGACGCCAAGACTTTGGACCACTTTTGGACTCCAGTTCTCGCTCTAGATATATAAGGAGCTCAGTGATCTTCAATGACACTTGTTATGAAGTGTGCAATGCAATCCAATGGTCATGAATTTATGATGATGAGCAGAACTAAATAAACTAAATAGCTTAACTTTGTTTATACTACTAGATAGCTAGCTTTCAGTATATCAGTCCTAACATCGGTGACAGAGGCCCATTGTTCTACTTACACCATTCATGCATGATTTTATGTTTTAAAAAATACTTCACAGAGATGGGTTTCTACCGTTTTTGTCACCGAGTTTCCTGTATATATATAGGGCTAACCAGGGAGTATGCCAATTGACGTTTCCCAAGATGTCAAACATTAAAACAATCGACAAAATACCGTTAACACAATAAGTGTTATTTTCCGCTGACTGAGGCACGAAAGAAGCGGAAAAAGTTTTCTCACACACTGCTGGGGGCCTGACGAAATCAGGGTGTTACAGGGACAACCAGGTTATATGACCATGATATTTTTGTTGTTGCTCAACCTAGCTTGACAGGAGTATCCCACCCACCTAACCATTTTATTTTATTAATAGAAATTAAGTGGAACTGAACAGCTTTAGTTTAGGTATATGTACTTGTTATAGTAAATACTTAGCGAGCAATTGTAAGGTAAATTAATAAATGTCAAGCTTGCGGCTGACGCTGCAGCGGCTCCCAGCGGTGTGTGAGAAATAACATATATACCAAAACGAAGTCTATAATAAGGTTAGCAGCATACGTGTATAAGAACTTCCAACAATGCGTCGCTCGTGATACTTTAACTGATTCTCAACCATATTTCAACACAGTTCGTTAAATGTACTTACACAAAACCGCGCGAAAATATAATAACTGCATGAATAATTTTAAATTTTTGCTTTTTCTTTCAAAACAGATTTCCAGCTTCCCTATAAGCTGCTTACATGTAGCAATAGTGGAGTTTGAGGACGGACTGCAGTACCTGCAGCCTCTCTACGACTGCTGTGATGAATGCTACTTCCCCGACTACGCGAGCTGTATTTGGAACGGCAATCCCTCCTGGCTTTGCGCAAGCCGCGCGTACAAATGCATCTGTGATTGTCGCGAAGCACAGTTGGTAGAACACGAAGACGTTACCTTAAAGAAATCCTCGTTTAAAGTAAGATCGGAGAAGAAAGTTTTAACAAGTGCGAGTGTTTGTAAGAAGAAATCGTGCAGTTATGGTGATAAAGGTTGCTGTGTCGAGGATCAGTGTATTAAGTTGTATGTCCACAAAACGAAGTCGCCTGTTCGACAAAAATGAAATGGGATGCCATGCACAAAATAGAGAAACCAGACACAGCACGCAGACGATTCAAATTTTGTAAACTAGTTGCCATTGATTCACCAATTTGTCAAAAGAAACTTTGTTTTGTTTTATGACAAGCTTGATAACACTATCTCATACACGCGTAAAAACGCACAACTTGTAATAAACTTGTAACATGTACCAATGCTGTTTCAACAACAGTTGTTGTCAGGGTGTGTTCGCACCGTTTGTTCCCGCTTGTTGACAAGTTGTCAAATGTCAATTGGTTTGTTGATAACTTACCACAAAGTTGTTGGACTCGACAAGTTATTATAAAATAACATGTATATAACGCGTGTTCTGATTGGTCAAAAGCCGTGTTTGGATCAGGCCATCCAAACACGGAAGACTATCGTGTTGTTGTTATTTTATAAAACAATTACTTTATGGTTTCCGTGTTTGGATGGACTGATCCAAACACTTGGGAATGTTGCTCGAGTTAAGAAAAGCGGGCAAAATCACTCGCCTTCGGCTCGTGATTTCGCTCGCTTTTCTTAACTCTCGCAACATTCCCGCGTGTTTGGATCAGGCCATCCAAACACGGAAACCATAAAGTAATTGTATATTCCAACAACTTGTTATCGTCCTGCAATCCAACAAATTGTTACTACAAGTTGTGAGTAACAAGCTTGTAGCAACTTGATGAAATGACAACATTTTACAACTTGACATTTATTACTCTAAGTGTATACTTGGTGACAAGTTTGCTAAATTAATCCAATCCTCTTACTATATTTTTAAAATTTTGCCATGGAAATTTTTAATTTTGCCATTAAAATAGTATGTAATCCAACTACTCCTCGTATAGTCTGGTCTAGTGACGTTTCAAAACATTATTAAATAGAATACATGATTCGTGCACTGCATTAAGCACCATCACCCCAACATTTGTGCGAGTCGTGCGCACGCATGCGCCTGTGGCTCTCGCGAACACTGAAAAGAACTGGCCAGCCGTTCCGCACGTTGTAACCAATAATGTATTGGCGTTGTAATGCCATTGTATGCAATAAAGTATTGGGTTGTAATGGGTCTACAATTAATCCAAACGTTAATCCTAATCCAAATCCTAAGCCAATTACACTTATAACTAAAACTTTTGTGTAATGCTTGTGGTTTTGTCGTCAGTTACAACCCAATACTTTATTGCATACAATGGCATTACAACGCCAATACATTATTGGTTACAACGTGCGGAACGGGTGAACTGGCAGGAGCTGATAAAACACGTGCAAAAATTTGCAAAAAGGAGAAGTGCGATAATCGTTCCAGACAGTGCTGTGTTGAAAATATATCTACTGTATTAGGATGAATGTTAAAAAAAGATGGCACACAATAAGGCGAACATGCAGGCATGCACACACAAACCTCTCACATTTTGTAAACCGGGTTAGAGCATAGACAATCCAGACAAGGCAGTCTTCTGGATTGTCTATATGGTTAGAGCTAGTTGGAATCCTGTTCTCAGATTTCATTTAGGTTTTAATAAATTTATTTTATCTTACTCTGCATGATACCAGTTTTTAGACAAGTGGAAGCACCGTATTTCAGTTATTTTGCTAAATTAACTTTCCATCCAAGTCTGGAACCGGACTTGTCCCCAGTCGCTCACCCCACCACAGATTAATAATATTATTAATTTGTTTAATCCGTGTTGAATAATAGTAGTTAGCGCATTCCCATGGTCCTTTGCGTGCTATTGTTCCAACCCGCAAGCGTCTAATGGAGGAGGTTATTTTTAAAGTTATAGGAATATGGCAATTCGTCATGGGTCGCCGAGTCGCTCTCGAGGATTATGGTCTTCGCTATTCGCTTAGTATGAATTCCACCGCTTTATTCTTGTGACAAGAAGAAGTTATACTGAGTTTACACGACTTATTCCCTCAAGGTATTGGATATAGAGATTGACATGGCAGGCTCGCAGGTTATTAGCAAACACATAGGCATACGATGTAGTACTCTGTTAGTATATATATGGAGAGGAATATAAGCCAATTTCCCCATGTGCCTATTTTTCATGACAACTCCTGAATTTCGGTTTTTAATTTCTGCCCAACACTTAGTTCGGTGAAATAATGTGCAAACGTTCGGTGTCCTCATTGGACATGTTCACGTGATTCGGACTTGCACGAACTTATCCAATTATACCATACGCAAAAGTCTCACATCTTGTAAAATCTTGTTCAGAAATTACAATGTCTATAAAACAGTTTTAACTTTTCTTTTGGAATTGTTAAAGGAATTCTTGTTGAGGTTAATTATATTATATATTTATAAATACAAAGATCACAATATGATATAGACAATTAAAACAGGAAAATCTAAAGTTATTTTAAGCTGCGTTTATAAAAATAAACTTCTGTGCAACTTCTGAACAAAGGGAGCTTAAGGAAGCAGCCACCTACTTGTTTTATTGTAATAATTAAGTTATTTGTGGGTTGCATATATGGCGATAATAATTTATCTGTGTTCGATTTAATTGTGTTTTCTTATTAACACGGAAGACATGGACATTATGTCATAGAGAGCTTCATACTAATGGACAACTTGCATGTTAGACTAAATTTTAATCTAAGCATAGAAAAGGGAATCAAACACCACAGCTAAAAAGAACATACTGAAATTAGTAAAAGTGCAAAATTTGGCTGCGAAATGTTGTAAAGCTTGGAAAATACAGCCTTGCAAAGTTTGCATATTTTCAGTATATTTGTATTACGAGCGGAAATTGTTACCATTTTCGGCTCAAAAATGGTAACAATTTCCGCACGTAATACAAATATACTGAAAATATGCAAACTTTGCAAGGCTATATTTTCCAAGCTTTACAACATTTCGCAACCAAATTTTGCAAGCTTACTAATTTTAATAAGTTCTTAACGGGAATTTACTTTTTTTTTGCCTAGATCGGTTAGATAAAAAATTTGTCTAACATGCAAGTTGCATGTCTATTGAAAGGGATTAAACTATACCTGAAAAATACAAGGAAAATGCTTCGAGCAAAGGCCCTTGGTCGATCGGGAAGTTAATATATACAGCCAATTCAAAAAAGTTTGTCCTTTGCAAACCTTATAAACTCGAAACCTTAAACTCTGCACAAAGTTTAATGGGAGCACAAGTTTCAAGCTTAGTAGTTGAATATTGCAAAGCTATTTGTGAATGAATGGACAACTTGCATGTTAGACTAAATTTTAATCTAAGCAGAGAAAAGGGAATCGAACACCACAGCTGAAAAGAATATACTAAAATTAGTAAAAGTGCAAAATTTGGTTGCGAAATGTTGTAAAGCTTGGAAAATATAGCTTTGTAAAGTTTGCACATTTTCAGTATATTTGTATTACGAGCGGAAATTGTTACCATTTTCGGCTCAAAAATGGTAACAATTTCCGCACGTAATACAAACATTTTAATAAGTTCTTAACAGGAATTTACTTTTTTTTGTCTAGATCGGCTAGATCAAAAATTTGTCTAACATGCAAGTTGTCTATTGTTCTCGTATAAGGAGATATTTACCATGTCCCTAAGAAATGGGCCCACATATGATTTCTAAACTGATCATGTGTTTTTTTTTATTGTGAACACGCGGAAAACATGTTGTGGTTTGTGTCTGAGCTATATTTAAAAATAATTTACAAAATTCTGCATGACGTTTTGAAGGAAAGAAGTTGATCGTCAGAAGGATTGCGAAACGTCGGAGTTTCTTCATTCTTTTTCGAGTAGTTCAAATACTCTGCAAACCATGACATGAGTTCCCTCCAGTATAAGTTGGAGCAATAAAGGGGGTGGTCATTACGAGACCTGTAAGAATAACAATTTAAAAGGAACGATACACCAGTATACAGCTACTGAGCATAAACAAAAGTATAAGTAATTTAATTTAATGATTTGCAATTAAATACAGGAACTGGAAAAAAAAATTCAACTGCATTTCCTTATATAAACGAGAAGCTTCTGTGGAATAAAGAAGTCTAAGAAAGGTCTAGCCACTGCACAAACTATGACACAGTCCCACAGTAAGCTTGCAGCAAAAGGGGGTGGTCATTACGAGACCTATAGGAATAAAAATTTAAAAGGAACGATACACAGTAGAGCTATGCAGTATAAACAAAGGTATAAGTAATTTAATTTAATGATTTGCAATTAAATACAGGAACTCGAAAGTAAATTTCAACTGCATTTCCTTAAACGAGAAGATTCTGTGGAATAAAAAACTCTAAGAAAGGTCAAATACTGTACAAATCATGACACAGTTCCCTCCAGTAAGCTTGCAGCAAAAGGGAGTGGTCATTACGAAGGCCAGTAACTAATAGACCTTTCCCCTTATGAGTGAAATTTTGATCTATAGATATGCCTGGACAAACATTTCATCACAGCTTGAAAGAGCATCACAAAATTAGTAATATTCCGAAGTTTCGTTGCGAAATGTTGCAAAATGCGGATAATATAGCCTTGCGAAGTTTGCCGTTTTTCAGTCATTTTGCACTACAAACCGGAAATTGATAATCAGATGATCAAACTGATTATCAATTTCCCATTTGTAAATTTTTGTCCAGACTTGTCTAGATCAAAATTTCACTCAAAAAGGGAAAGGTCTATTGTCATGAGGCCTTTTATACGCTACAATTTCCAAAATATCAATAAAAAATGAAATGATCCACTAAGCTTCGTAAATTACATATAAAAATGTTGCCAATGAGGAATTTACAAATGAAGTAACATTGACATTGACCCTTTAACGTGTATGTTTCAACAGAAAAACAATTACCGAAAATTAAAGCGCTGAAACGCTATTTCGAAATCCGCAGTACATGGTGTCATCAATTATCTGTGAGCAATTTTCTATAGTATGTTTTGCTCGATGGCCGATGGTATAAAAAGAAAGCCTCTCAGGTCTGCATGATTCACTGTACTGGTTTACACGTTCATCTGTACATATATGATCTGTATACAGCAAACATGAAGGGAATACTGCTTGTGGCACTCGTGATTTTACAGTTGGTACTTCTCAGCAAAGGCTCGCTTCCGAAAAGGTCACAGAGTTGTCCACGAAATCCGAAGCTCGAAGCTTGGAAGAAAACTGTGAAACAGATTCTGGCGATTAAAGGCGTCCGGGAAAAGAGACAGTCAGCGGTAAGCAAGTATCTGATTGTTGATAAAATTTAAACAACGAAAAACGCGCACTTATAACATTGCCAAGTGAGATCTGCCCAAAATTTAGGTTAGTGATTGAGTATAAATTAATAGAACCTCCTATCTCGAGTTTTCACCATGGCTTACCAACATTTTCAATAAAAACTTTTGATTCATTTAGGCTATATGATTCTGGGGCATGAGTCACTTCCTCATGGCTTATTACTATCCCAGCTATCTGCATTTTTATTTCCCATAATAAATAAAACAAGAAAAGTTATTTTTTATTCAGTTGCATGAAGGGTTGTGTATTTTGATGGAAATTATCGAGTGTAAATTTATATACATTTATTAGACCTAACCAGGCTAGCTTCAAGTCAAGTATTGAATCCTAATCTTATCCTAATCTTGACTGTTTTATTTTACTTGTGGATTCTCATTTTGTAATATGGAAAATGACAAAGATTTGAACGTGCCAAAGGCGTGCGATTATATGGCTTATAGTCTAATAATGAATATGTAATAAATTCGAAATTACTGTTCACTATTGTTTCTTCAAATATTAAGTTTCAAAAACTTTTGTTCGGCGCTTTTTTCGCACCAACTGTTTTTCTTTTTCTTTTTTTTTTCTTTTAATACAGACTGGCTTCCCTATTAACTCATGCTATCTCTTCGGATTATTGGAGACGGGCGAGAGCAAATTCTTCTACTACCCCCTCTCTAAATGCTGTGAACAATGTCGCCTTCCCAAATTCGTGAACTGCATTAAGAGCCACCACCCCTACGTTTGTGCGAGTCGCGCGCACGCATGTACCTGTAAGTGTCGCGAAAAACACCTGAGAGTACTGGAAAGATCCACGAATTCAAGGTCCAGAAGTATAGAGGCCCAGAGGTTCAAAGGTCCAAGAATTTGCGAGATGAAGACGTGCGATTCCAAACAGTGCTGCGTTGACAATCAATGTGTTATGATGAATGTCCAAAAAGATCACACATAATATGAAGAACAAGTACAAAGGAAAACATCTCACATTTTCTAAACCAGTTAACTGTTTATTAACTTTATTTAAAAAAAAAACTGTCCAGTTCTCATTTCCGCATAAGCTTTAAATTACTTAGTAATTAGTATAGAAATACGAAGCATATATTAATCAACGGTAAACTGCACTGCAACTAGAGTATGAATAAACTTTACTTAGTAGAAATACAAAGCACATTAATCAATGGTGAACTGCAATGAAGAATATGACTTGAATGCGCAATCTTATATGATAATAATTGACAGTTATGGTTGGTTTTCCATCGCGTGAGATACATGAATAATTTGTAAAAATATTACAGTCTTTAATTTGGTACTATTTAAAACACGAGTAGGAGTGTTTTATCACATATAAAACGCGAGATCTGATAAAACACGACAACGAGTGTTTTGAATAGCTTAAAATACGACTAGAAAAGAATAGTAATTAGGATGAAGAATTGTATAATCATGCTAATTAGGATGAACAATTACATAAAGAATACTAATGAAGATGAGTTTATCAGATATAAAGTCACTCCAGGTACAAGGTTTATGAATTTTTAATGAGCATTTTAATTATAATTCAAAAACTCATTAATAATTAATGAAGCAATTATCCAATCTTGAGTAAGAAATTAGTCACGTGCATACGTCTTTATACCAGCTAAAGAACACTTTAACAAAAGACCATTGTTATGCAAACTATATAAAGATTTTTATATAAAGATTTTTATATAAAGATTTTTATATAAAGATTTGACTTGTTATGCAAACGTTTTTGAAGCCATTTAAAAAACTCGCAGGTCGTGTTTTATTAGGTCTAAAGCCACTCGCGCTGCGCGCTCGTAGCTTTAAACGTAATAAAACACTCCTGCTCGTTTTTTAAATAGTACGTAAAACACTGTAGACTAAATATACATCAACAATGCGTATATATGCATGGTTTCATATCATTCTTCTGGATGCAGACAAAATTTGTTGTCTCCAGCGGGATTACATGGGCTTATACGGGGATTGGTAACGAGTTTTGTCCAATTGTTTTTCTCATCCTCAGAAATGTAAAACCAGTTATCTCTGAGGATTGTTTTGAAATCTAAACGGAATTTTTGCTGCATCAAGGGCAAGATGTCACATCCTTATATGGTTGCATGTTTTCAGTAAAACAATGAAGGATGATGTAATAAGTTATACCTATAAGGTCCGTGGGTGGATGTCGCCCAGCATGTGCTAAAACCCGGAACGGAACAACTGGAAAAACCGAAACGAAAGGATCGAAACCACCGCGAAACTTATGAGTTTATAAAATATAAATTAGTTTAGCTTAAACTTATGGTTATATATAAGCAATGAGGGATACAGCTACCTGAAAAATACAAGGAGAACTTCGACGTTGCGAGCGAAGGCGACCTTAAGAATGACTTTCACTTTTAGGGGTTAGGTGGCAATTGGGACGAGAGTCCTGTTAATTTCCCCTGTCACGATTTGTCTAATCTGTCTTTATTTGTCTTTAATTAGTTTGTATCATGTACAAAGTGACAAATTCATTATATATTATATTATTATATTATATAACCTGAGTATCGGGCTCTATTTTACAAATAGAGCCTGACACAAAACTTGACCTGATCGCTTTCCACCCACAGCAAAGTTTATATTTAGTATCCAATCAAAATGTCGCAGGAGAAATTTAAATTTGACACAACGACAACAACAATCTAATTATAGCATAAGCAGCCCACTAACTGACGGCTGAATTTAAATTAAAACTGCAATGAACTTATAAAATTAACAAAAATAAATCGCCACCCGATTGCTCTCTCCTCCGCAGAGGTTTCAGTGACTACAATGAGCTTTACATGGCGCTTACCGTATTTATCAACCTCTGTTTATCAACAAACTGACATATAATTATAAATTAAACTGTATATATATATTAAGTATACTTTATAACTATACGTCAGTTAGTCGATAGTGCAATCTGATGGCGATTTAATATAAGCTACATTTGCAATATATTTCGCTAATTTGCGATTATTTTCTAATTTTACTGCAGTTGTAATTTAAATTCAGCCGTTTAGTGGGATCGTTATAAAATATATCAACAACTGACAATAGTATAATCTAATTAGCACCAGCCAATCAAATGACAGATTTAAAAAATCGTTTGTCTAATCGGCCAGTCAGACGAAAAAGCCAGAATCTGGCTTTTTACATGCGCCGCGGTAAAAGAATTGTATCAGGCCCTCCTTCATTCGCCGTCGCCAATTAATCCTGGCGAATGAAAACATAAGGGCCTGATACTCAGGTTATATATTATATGACTAATCTTCCCCTAAAATTAGTTCAGTTTAGTTAAGTGCTATACATGCATCCCTGCAAATGCTGTGCTGATTGGTTATATTACTACCTTAAAAAATAAGCAGAAACTCGACGTTTCGAGTGAAGGCCCTTCGTCAAGAGTTATGTGCCGGGTTTTAGCACATGCTACATGGGCAACATCCACCCACAGACCTCATAGGTATAACTTATTACATCATCCTTTATTGTTTTACTGAAAACATGCAACCATATAAGGATGTGACATCTTGCCCTTGATGCATAAATGCCTCTGAGGTCCGTGGGTGGTGTAAAAAGTCGTGCACTGTGCTAATTGCATGGTCTTTCTAAAACAGTCATTGCGGTGCCCAAGTTTGGCACCGCATTATATTCTGCCTGTGAGTTTGTCCGTTTGTTTGTCCGTTTGTTATAGTTTGATCGCATCAATATGTTTCGTTAATATCTTAGTAAAGATTCACGTTCTCTGAATTTATTCATTTTTGCGGGAAATCTTGAACTCTCAGGACCGACTGTTTGTTGGGCTTTATCTCTGGTTTTATAGCCAAACATGGACAAAAATACCACTGTTCGAAGCAGCATAAAACGTTGTATTTATGGATGGGAAATTGATTTCAAAATTGATTTCTATTCCAGCGATTCATGGGTTTTGAAAGACAAGCCGCTCAAAATAATCCTTTCATGTTTTCTGAATTCCTTTTTTCGAGAAAAGTTTTCTTTCCAATTAATCTCGGACTCTGTCTTATCTCTGGTTTTAATTTATGCGCCCAATAAGGACAAGAATACCACCGTTCGATTCAGCGTAAAAAATTGTACTTATACGGATGTTAAAAGTATTACTAAACAACAGTATTCTAGCGATTTATGGCCTTTGAAAGTCAAGCGAAATGGTTTGTTGACAAATCGCTCAAAATTATTAAACTAATTAAAAATGCAGTCCGTTTGATCCTTCATAACTTCGGTATTGTTGGTTTTCCCGCGTCTCCTAGAACTGGCCGCATATGTCCATTACATAGATATCTTATATAAACTAGATAGCGCATCTCTTTTAGTAAAATTGAAGCCAAGAATATCCCAGCGGTTACCCCCATTTGAATAGATGGCGGCCATGTTGGAGCTTCCCACTCGGTAATAAACGCTTAAAAAATAACAATAACTTTCATCATTTGAATAGTTTGAAAATGTATTTATAATAGGATTAACTTAATGTTTAAGTTGTCTGTTTAAGAAATAGGATACATACGAATCTTCTCATTTCATGGGAAGATCCTGAGCCTGCAATCACGGCTTCAATTTTTGAATTGCAGAATAATTAGATGCGCTATCTAGTGTATATAAGATATCTATGGTCCATTATTGCGAAGATGTTTCCATTATTTGACTTTTGAGACAAACAATTACGAAAAACTACAGTTTCAAATAATCTATCGTTCAAGAAATACATATTTATGATACAACACGTAAAAATCGAAATGAAATTCTTGAAACTTTTATCAAAGATCGTGAATTTTTTCCGTTTTCACTATACGAACTGCTGAGCTACACACTTCCGCTACAAGTTTTGATTTTTGAACGTCAAAACCGATAAGGTTAATATCCTGGCTTTCATTTTTGCATACAAAAACTCTAAAACATTGCGTAGAAACGTGGTTGAATGGATATTTAAAACACGTATCTATAGTTCATGAAATAATGGGCCGTGTTTCATCTTTCAGACACCATAATGGATAATGGAAATGGACCGCCCACCCGCTTGTAATTTCAAATAAGGGCCGGACGGGAAACTAAAGTCTAATTTGCAGTGGTCTAATTAAAAATGCAGTACGTTTGATCCTTAACAACTTCAGTATCGTTGGTTTTCTCTTTTCGGCCGTCTACCAGTATATTCGTCTCACTTTTCTCTTCATTTTGATAGTATTTTGAGCCCAAAATATTTCACTTTGAAGGCTTTAAAACGCAGTTTTGATGCTAGCGTACGGACCAACTAGCGGAGAATGTAGCGTGCTAAATATAACTTTTCTTGTACGTTCATGTATAGGCGGAAACTCCGGATGTTTTATTTGTAGGCGGATTTTAGTACCGTGTCTGGTTTTCGTTTCTATTCCGCGTAATTGTGCTGGAATAGAGGATATTTTCGACTCATCGCCGCCACACGTAATTATCTCACCTAATTATTTTCTAGTACGTTTTGCTCGTAGACCGATGGTATAAAAAGAGAGTCTCTCAGGTCTGGTTCACTGTACTGGTTTACACATCGATCTGTATACAGCAAACATGAGGGGAATACTGGTGGCACTACTGATTTTACAGTTGGTACTTCTCAGCGAAGGCTGGTGGCGTCCGAGAAGGCCACAGAGGTGTCCACGAAATCCGAAGCTCGAATCATGGAAGAAAGCTGTGAAACAGAGTCTGGCAACTAAAGGCGTTCGGGGAAAGAGACAGTTAGCAAGTGCGGTAAGCAAGTATCTGATTGTTGATAGAATTTAAACAAGTGAGATCTGCCCAAAATTTAGGTTAGCGATTAAGTAAATTAATAGAACCTCCTATCTCGAGTTTTCATCATGGCTTACCAAAATGTTCAATAAAAACTTTTGATTCATTTATGATTCTGCAGGGGCATGAGTCACTTCCTCATGGCTTATTACTACCCAGCTCTCTGCATTTTTATATTTCTTCTGACTTACCATAAATAAAACAAGAAAAGCTGTTTTTTTGTTCGGTTGTAGTAGTAAGTATTGAGTCCTAATCTTATCGACAGTCTCGACTGTTGTACTTTTACTTGTGAATTTTCATTTTGTAATATGGAAAACGACAAAGATTTGAACATGCCAAAGGCATACGAATTATGGCCGTTAGTTGAGCATATACTATTCTGATAATGAAAAATGAATTTGTAATAAATTCGAAATATTACTGTTCAATATTGTTTTTTCAAATATTAAGTTTCAAAAACTTTTGTTCGGCGCTTTTTTCGCAACAACTATGCATGTTTTAATTTTGTTTTTTCTCTTAATACAGATTGACTTTCCCATTGACTCATGCTATCTCTTCGCATTATTGGAGTTGCCTGAGGGTGATTACGTCTACAAACCCCTCTCTGACTGCTGTGAACAATGTCACCACCCCGAATTCGGAAACTGCATTAAGAACCATAACCCCTTCCTTTGTGTGAGTCGCGCGCACAAATGCACCTGTGAGTGTCGCGAAAAACTCCTCAAAAGATCCAAGAATTTAAGGCCCAGAAGTATAGAGGTCCAGAGGCACAGAGGTCCAAGAATTTGCGAGAAGACGACATGCAGTTATCGTTCCAAACGGTGCTGTGTTGAGAATCAATGTGTTAAGTTGAATGTTCGAAAACATCGCACATAATATGAAGAACACGTATACAAAGGAAACATCTCACATTTTGTAAACCAGGAAAAATTGTCAAATCCTCACTTCCGGATTATAAGTCGGCATGCATGACAGTATAGATAATAAATGCTTTTGAAAAGTGGAAGCACCGAATTTATTTATTTTGCAAATTAGCTTTTGACCCAAGTCTGGAACAACTTGTGAGATTTTTTCGTATTGATATCAAACGGAAAGTAGACATTGGGATAACGTTTAGGCTTTTAGCATAAGCTTTAAATTACTTAGCAATTAGTATAGAAATATGAAGCACATATATATATATATATTAATCAATGATGAACTGCACTGCCTATAGAGTATGAATAAATTTTACTTAGTACAAAGCACATTAATCAATGATGAACTGCAATGAAGAATATGACTTGAATGCGCAATCTTATATGATAATAAAAATATTGACAAACTTTAATTTAGTCTAAATACGATATATATGCATATGCACAATAAAGTTCATTAAAATGTGGTTCACCCAAAAATTGTCGATATATATGACTATGATTTTACTTATTACTGTCGAAGATGTTTAATTTGAAAGCAAATTTCGAAAGCGTTCGCCGGTTCGCCCGAAACATTGACGTTTTACTTGTATTTTTCACTAGGTATAGTTTAATCCTTCTCAATTCACATATATCTTTAATTTGCATGGCGATAATTGATCTGTGTTCGGTTTAATTGTGTTTGTTTGTTTTTTTAACACGGAAGACATGGAGTATTATACATTATGTCATAGAGAGCTTCAGATTAATTGAAAGTAGTAAGTGGGGGTGTGTGCATGTGCTAATCATCCTTACTTGCAGCTAAGAGCAAAGCTGAATTACGAAGGACGCAGCTCAACTTGATTGAGTCGAAGACTTTCTTAAGGCGCCAATGGCAGCCAACTTATGACTCATGTCTGATCACGGTGCACAGCTACGGCACAGAATAGGAAGGTATAGCAGAAGCGTAACTCTAGTCGTTTCCCTTATTGTTTTACATCCACAAAAATTTTAACTCGCTCACGCCAATCCACGTCATCCTGGCTGGTACAACCGGAAGTTTTTATCAGGTTTTGGTAGGTATAAAGTGCCGGTTGTACTAGCCAGGATGGCGTGATTGATGACGAATCGCTTGTAAAAACGCGGACAAATACTTGCTTGAGTTAAGCCCGTTCTCCACTACGCGAATTTGTTCGCGCGACGCGAAGCGAAAACCGAAATCCGGCAACGTGATTGGCAACCTCGTTCCCAGGCTCTTTGCTCTTGGGAAGCAAAGACCCCAATCTCGTTCCCAGAGTATGCCTGTTCGCGGGTTAGGTCATGCCACAACCTAACCCGCGAACAGGCATACTCTGGGAACGAGATTGCAAAGACCCTGGCTGGGGCTGGTCACGTGGCACGCGGAAATTTGATCGCCCAAGGGGGAGTACGCAAAGTATCAAATTACATGCTTCCACTTCCGCACTTTACACTTCTATTACAAGGAGTGAGAGTGTTCTGTACAATCAACTTTGAGAATCTCAAAGACATATGAAATTTATAAATACTTGCTAAATTTGGTTCCTGTTTGCTTTTAAATTATAAAAAACATACGAAACATATTTTTATCGCAACAGACAAGTCAAGAAGTCAAGCAATAAAAACGTATGATCGTATGCTTTGAAATTGTTCTCATGTTCTCTCGAGGCCTCTGGCGCACTTTCATTTCACACGTTTCTGTTTTGCCTCTGGTTCACTTCACATATTTATAATATTCTTATAATATGCCGTTAGCGTTATTTGGAAACGGTATATTTAGCTTTGAATTGATTTACTTGTTAATTTCAACACAATTATTACTGTGGTAGGTCGTAGCTCCTTTTGAGGTCTGCTCGCGCACACGCTTTATATTAAATAGATACAAGCCAAATAGACATTGAATCTCTGGACATTCTATTGATTCAAAAATTGTTTATAGGCATCGCATTTTTTTTAATAGGTTAAATTATTGTATAATTCACCGTTTGTATTAAACACTGCATGGTAGTAAGGAGTGTATAAGTTACAAAAATTGTTAGGGAATCTACAGTATAGAATTTAGATAACTAATATGCTTTTCCTATTTTGTCTACACGCGAGTATAATGATGGAAAAATAGTGCACAATATATGTCCTATAATATATAATTCAATAGCCATTTACCCTCGCCTTTTATACCATGCCCATTGAATGCAAAGGCAGCATTGAATGACAGCAGATATAATAGAAAAATACTTTCCTATAAAACCTTATAACGGTATAAAGTTTCTCTACACTTTGTCAGGGTCAGAGATATATTATACATAATTCATATTAAAGTCCCACACAGACACACCATTACTCGATAAGTTTTTATAAGCATTTTAAAGTTTCTATTGATACATCGGCTATTTGTCTCTAGCATAGTTGGATGAAAACTTCTAAAATATGATGAAGATTGCCGTATTGATATAAATATTGATTAACACAGCAGCATGATACAGGTCGAAAAAAGCAGGATTATTCCGCTATAAAAGGCCAATTGCAATGCCAAATATAAAAGTCTTTATAAGATTTATAATGTGCCTGCTGAGATTGCTGCACGTCAAACATGATATGATATAATATACTATAAAATAAAATACTTGTGTCTGATGTTTAACTGTATGTATCGTATTATATATTATCGTTGTACCGCATAGCACGCACGGAGAAGTCTTGGCGTAAACGAATGGCGTTCATAAGATAACCAATAGAGTTCACTGGTGAAAACAGATAGCTATACTTCGAAGTAATTCTTGCTCGTTGAGTTTCAGCAATGCCCAGAGAACAATGTAGTCCATATAAAGAACGCGGGTTTTTAATTCTGTGCTATCACAAGTCAAGATACAGTAGCATTGTTTACAAACAGTTGGCGATGTTTCGGAAACCAAAAGATCACGTAATAAAAAAATCCGTTTGAATATCGGACAGGATACACGGCCAGATCGTTCGTTTGATCGGTGTGGAAGATATTAAAGTAGCTTCTACGATGAAGCGTGTTCAACTTCGCAAGCTGTAGGTAGCGTGTGGCGTTCTTTCCTTGCAATTGAAATATGATTCAGCTTCTTGTTTGAAATGTAACTCAACACTCATTATTGATGACATTGATATAGCAGGAAGTCGTATCGTGATAAATATAATTAGAAGGATAATTCCAACCCACCCTGTCAACTTTCCCTGTGGGAGGAAACCTGAGTATCCGGAGAAAACCCACGACTTTCGTCAGAACGTTGACTGAATCTTTTCACATGAGTCCGTAGCGAGAATCAAACCCACGAACTCAGAGGTGAAAGGCGCTTGCTCAGACGAACGCGCCAGCGAAGCCCCTTAAACTACCTGGGGCCGGTTGTATAAAAACGTAGTTAGCGCTAACTGCAGTTAAAAAGTAGTTAAAAAAGCCTTAAAAAATAGTTAACTTTAATCACGTAGTTAAGCCGGTTATATAAAAGTGTAGTTAGCCTTAATTGCAGTTAGTATAATTACATAGGTGATTATTGAAAATTCTCCACGTTGATTGGTTGCCGTTGAGGTGATTATTACGCGATAATCACCTAAGCGATTTTCAAAATGGCGGCCGAAGCCTTTTTGTCAAGTAGTTAAAGTTAACTATGCTTTAGGGTATAGTTAACTGTCCAAAACGTAGTTAAAAATGGCGTTTGTATAGGAGTGAACAACATTTTTCAGTAAAACAATAATGAAAAGCAACGCTTACCTGAGATTTTCAATCGCTATCTTCCCTGTGAATGTTTCCTGACAATATAAACTCTTCAAACGCTATCGCTTTGGTGTTTTTACGAAACCAGATATTCTTGCACAGGACGATTTCTCGAAGACGAAGTATGGTCCATTACACCAAGAAACACTGATATATATATATTTGCCAAACAGCTATACCTTGGTTCAACGTAGACATCTCAAGGAAAAACTGCATTCTTTTATGATTTTTGTGGCGGTTTTTCCTTGTTTTTTGTTTATTTTTCACTGTTTTCAGTGTTTTGAATAAAATTTCCGCCTATTTGCAAAATACGAATCCACAATCATGTTGAAATTGTGTGTCAGCGTTCGTTACTCGCTGCTTACTTTATATAATTTTGTGTTTAAACGCCCCACGCAAGCCCCACGCGTTAGCGCTAACTGTAGTTAGCGTTAATCAATGTAGTTAAATCCTTAACTGTAATTAGTTAACTACATGACTTAACTGCGTTGCACAAAACGTAGTTAGTCGGATAGTATACAAATAATGAATGTTTATGAGTGCAATGGTAAGAATATTTTCATGAGGTGAAAGATGGAATGTTCTATTCAACGAGGCGACAGCCGAGTTGAATGGAATATTCCATCTTTCACCGAATGAAAATATTCTTACCATTGCACGAAGAAACATTCATTATTTGTTTTATATAATACCAAAAGTCCAGAACAGACTAATAGATTCGTACGAGAAGCATTTTGAGGGATGCGATTTATCGAAAACACAAAGAGTGCAATTGTACTATACGTTTTGTTCCATTGCACTCGCGGAGAGTGCAATGGAACGCGTTCCATTGCACTCTTGGGAAATGGAATTTTCTATTCAATATCACGTGACCATAAACAGCCAATTAAACGATTAGAATTTAATAAGGTATTATATAATTAACTAATCACGTAGTTAACTGTGCGTGGGGCGTTTAAACACAAAATTACATAAAGTAAGCAGGGAGTAGCGACCGCTGACACACATTTTCAACATGATTGTGGACTCGTATTTTGCAAATAGGCGGGAATTTTATTCAAAACAGTGAAACACTAGAAAACAGTGAAAAATAAACAAGAAAACAAGGAAAAACCGCCACAAAAATCATAAAAGAATGCAGTTTTTCCTTGAGATGTCTACGTTAAACCAAGGTATAGCTGTTTGGCAATTATATATCGATCAGTGTTTCTTGGTGTAATGGACCATACTTCGTCTTCGAGAAATCGTATTCGTGGACTCGTATTTTGCAAATAGGCGGGAATTTTATTCAAAACACTAGAAAACAGTGAAAAATAAACAAAACAAGGAAAAACCGCCACAAAAATCATAAAAGAATGCAGTTTTCCTTGAGATGTCTACGTTAAACCAAAGTATAGCTGTTTGGCAATTATATATCAGTGTTTCTTGGTGTAATGGACCATACTTCGTCTTCGAGAAATCGTCCTGTGCAAAAATATGTTCTGTTTTCGTAAAAAACACCAAAGCGATAGCGTTTGAAGAGTTTATATTGTCAGGAAACATTCACATGGAAGATAGCGATTGAAAATCTCAGGTAACTGTTGCTTTTCATTGTTGTTTTACTGCAAAATGTTGTTCACTCCTATACAAACGCCATTTTTAACTACGTTTTGGACAGTTAACTATACCCTAAAGCATAGTTAACTTTAACTACTTTTTAACTGCAGTTAGCGCTAACTACGTTTTTATACAACCGGCCCCTGGAGGACAAATTAGCAATCTATATGCATAATATGTTTGTAAACAAAGCAAATTTTGTAAAACTTTATAATAATTTTGTATTAAAATGGTTAATTTTTGCGCTGTATGTGGTTTTTGTGCCCGAACAGATATTGTTAGGGAGCATCTGGAGGACATTCTAAGGATTTGTGACGTCAGTGCAACGCGTCTATATTAACTTTCCGACAAAGGGCCGGCCTTCGCTCGAGACGTCGAAATTTAAACTTGAATTTGCTGGTGTTATTGTCACCACCTACCCTATTAGTCATAACCTATCTGAACAAGTCACATGGAAAGGATTAAAAAAAGCCGAACGTTTCGAGCGACATAGCATTGTCGCGCAGGAGGTGAGTATATATAGGTATCTTGTCATATTTTATAACATTTTATTTCAATTTGTAAGATAGTGCCTTAGAATATTTCTAGTTTTTAGTGCTTTAGGCCAAGTAAAAAAAAAGTGTAGTTTCTCGTCTCCGCCCGCATCCTTTTTCCCTACCGCATGGATTTTTCTTTTTTTTTAATTTTTATATTCGAGCCTTTCAAATAATTTCCATTTAGTGTATTTCGGCTATTTTTCTCCTTTCGGCATAGTTCGGTTGCCGTTTGGAAATTTTCGTCAACTCTCGCCGGCTTGCTGTTCCGTATTTTGGTGCCATATTGCATTAGTAGCTGTTTGTCTATTTTAATATATTTACGTTGTATGAGTAAGGCCACATAAAATAAATTCCTTGATTCTCATCACCGCCCGACTGTATTTTAAGAGACGCGTGAAATTTTTTTATATTTCGTTATACAATATAAATGAACCGCCCGACAAAATATTTCAAGACAGTTAAGTTTTTTATATTTAAAATTGGGTTTTTAGTGCCATTTAAACTGCCAATTTCAAACAAATAGAACCTTGAAAGAAATTTCATTGCATTTTAACGGAACTTCGCATTCAGTTGAACGGTTCGATCAGTCATTGTTCGTGGAGAAATATGTTTATTTCAGTTTGTGACACTTTTATTTATTGATATATATTAAATTATATAAATATAAAATATAAAATATAAACCTCCCGCCTCTTGGCAATTGATAAAACTAGAATAGTGAAGCGAATAGTGCGAATAGTCGACGAATAGTACGAATAGTCCGCGAATAGTCGACGAATAGTGCGAATAGTCCACGAATAGGCGACGAATAGTCCACGAATAGGCGACGAATAGTATGAATAGTGCAATAGAGACTTTGCAAGGCTTTGCAGCAGTGCTATAGAACTAAATTTACCGGGGGGGGGCTCTGTTGACAAACATGAAATCGTGAAAACATTCGTCGACGTACGTCAATGACGTCATACGTCTAGTGATTGTCATCAGTGGCGCCGTGGCCAGGGGGGGGGCATGGCCCTCCCCTATTGTTGACACCCGTCGTAAAATTGCCAATGCTGCCGGAAATTGTCGGAAAATTGTCAAGGCTGTCGGAAATTGTCAAAGTTGTCGACGGGGGGGGGGAGTGAAGATTTAAAATGTTGTCGTCCGGAAAACTTTTTGGTTTGTCGGAAAAATTTTTCGGTGTCATTCTACTTCCTGTTAAATATTTGTTAAAACTCAGTGGTCCCGTAATTTTTACCGATTACGTATGACGTCATTGACATCAACGAATGTTTTCACGATTTCATGTTTGTCAATAGAGCCCCCGCCCCGCTTCGGTAAATCTAGTTCTACAGCACGGTGGAAAGCCTTGCAAATTCTCTATTGCACTATTCGTCGACTATTCGTACTATTCGTCCACTATTCGCGGACTATTCGTCCACTATTCGCGGACTATTCGTACTATTCGTCGACTATTCGCGGACTATTCGTACTATTCGTCGACTATTCGCGGACTATTCGCACTATTCGTCGACTATTCGCGGACTATTCGCACTATTCGTCGACTATTCGCGAACTATTCGCACTATTCGTCGACTATTCGCGGACTATTCGCACTATTCGTCGACTATTCGCGGACTATTCGCACTATTCGTCGACTATTCGCACTATTCGCTTCACTATTCTAGTTTTATCAATTGCCCCGCCTCTTCGACATTTTCAAAGTGTAGTGATGAGAATCAAGGAATTTATTTTATATGGCCTAATATTTCATCTTGAATACGCAAGCAGTTTTTCAAGTATTGTATAATTCAACAGCTTTATACCTCTATAAAACATCTTTGTTTTGTTGAATGGGCTGTGCTGTTGTAAGCTGAAGAACGTGAAACGATCGAGACTTTCCAAACTTCAAGCAAAGAAACTGAATATGTTCCAACAATCAGGGACAGGGCTATATAGCGGGCTGCCAATGGCCAAAGGCAGGCGCACATATTTTAGAAACGGCATGCAGGCAAAAAACAAATTTGAACTGCCAAGTCAAAAAAAAATGTCAGATGAAATTCTATAGATATATTTCGTTTCATTTATTTACCACAACTCATATTGTATATATAGTAGATCATTTAGTTGACTAAATACGTTTATATTTGAAATGTAATCATGAAAACATTGAGTTTTACATGCAATATGTCACATACGAGACA